ATTCGAGTTTAAATACACATTTTTATATTATGAATTAAGTTTTTTTTTTTTTTTTTTTTTATGATTTTACTAGTTTGTGGCAGTCTACCAGGGATTACTGCCACCTTGGCTACGATTCAGGCTCATTCGCTAACATTCACTTTATACAGTTGTGGGAAACGACCTACGTAGCATAAACTATGATATCTTCAAACTATTCTTATTGCAGAGCGATCTTCTGTTCCTGTTAGTTCTCGTGTAATACTTTTTCTTTGTGGAATACATTATTTATTGACTCCACTTGATTTTGAGAAGAGTCAGTGAACGCAGCGTTGATACGCAGCCGTTCATCTTACCGTGAGTCTTTTGGAAACTTTAGAGCGGAAAGTCGTTATCTGTTGTCGTAAACCAGTTTCGAAGTTCTCGAATCCGTCTCCGGAGGCCTTTTCGCAAGTGGTCATCTCAATGAAGCTGCGATATTACAGCGGTAGACAGTGGGAATTGACTTCGCTTGTGCGGTCCTTGACAGAGATGCAGAGGTTATGCCCAGCTATGGAAACCCTGAACAGGACCGAAACTAAAACATTTGGACCGTTTGAAGTTCTGAACATATTTTTATTACGTAGATTTTTATTTTTTTTAAAAAAGTGTAAAAACTAAAAAATGTTTCACAGCTCGATCTCGGCCCACCTATATGGCAAAAGGGATATAATACGATGTTAGTTTACGATCAGAAAGTAATAAATGTCATATGTCCGCAAAAAACGGTCTCGAATTAACAACAAAGGTTGACGAAAATCCTTGAGAATAAACAGCAGAACTATAAAAAGGTTGCAACTAATAGATGCTTTATTTACTTGGCGAACGATTCAATTTAACTGTGAACTTGCGGCTAAAAGTATTTTAGGTACGATCTATAGCGGAACCAATGTCAGAGGAAACACTCGCAGCAAAATTCGATGTGGACTTTTGAAACGGGCCAAAGTGAAAACCTTCACTAGTCTACACTTGGGTTGCCTTTCGTTTTTCGCTCAGCCGTTCATGGGCATTTCTGCGATGATTAGTATACGCTCGAGTTCAGCAAACAAACAAACAAACAAGCAACTGTTGTAATTTTTTTTCTCAAAAATTGAATGAAGCCTCAGTTAGAGAATCTAATAGCTATGAACTCTACAGACCTAAAAGCAGTACTTGCAATTAGATATATTGGGAAATTTATGTTTATCGCTAAGTGTTGCTTTCAGACTTCACAATAATAGAATCTGATTTAAGTACTGCTTTAGGGTATTGTCGGCAGGAAATTGATATCCTCAGTAAGGGTGCTTGTTATTTCCTGTGATTTCTATTAATAAAGCATTTAACACTGCCCTCAAAAAATTAGAAACCGTACTGCTTTTCTTTTAGATACTCAGCAATAATTTACTCCAATAGATTTCCCTCCTTCTTTCTTATTCTTTCTATTTTCTGTAGTCAACTTGTTTATTTTGATATAGCGAAATTCCTATTTCAGAATCAGGATATTTACTTGTTCCTTTCTGTTGGCCTGCCTTTCTTTCTTCATTTTTGACTAACTATACAAAGATCAATGACATGTTTTCGTAACGCTGCGCCTAATTCCCCTGTTAGCTACCTCTTTTTCTTGCCGTTTGGCTTTGTCAAACAGAAACTATTGCGGAAGCCGTCCACTAGGAAAATCCTAACCGTACTCAGCCGGAACCTCTTCGCATTCATTTACCCACCGCGCGCATAGTGACCCATATCACACAAACACACGCGCCCATGAGGATCGAGGGTGTCGTAACAGATAGACAGACATGTATTTTGGTATACTCGTATCATTGCAACGAGGAAACGATCTACTGCGATTGTTTTAGGTATCCCCTGTATATTGTTGCCCTCAGGACTCTCTCTACGGAAACAAGTGATAGACACGATCGACCATCCATTGCCCTATGCGACTAGACCAAGAAAGCACGCCCCTATTGCAGTCTATGGCTAAGGTAATAGCACTGATTGGCGAGTGGTGCTGATTGATGCCAAACGTGTAAACCACAGTAGTAAGCGTCAAATGGTTTATATAATATAAGCTTGACGATGAGAGAGCACAGTTACTGATAGGGTTTATTGTTGAATCTAGCGGTAAATAGTTGACATTGTGTCTGATGAAACGTTGGCTTGGTCATCCTCTGAATGACCGTGCCCAGTATAATTACTTTGTTAACATCACCACATCTAAAAATCATATGATTCTACTCACTGCGTTAAGGATATTTTTTTATCAAGCAATGGCAATTTTCAACGCAAAGCTTCTGTGCCTTGCCCGTCTTCAAGCAACAAAAGCACTAAATAATGTTCTGCGGCTAATCTTTTGACGCTTCAAGTAAAAATTGTTGTATCCTTTGCCTAACTTGCTTCTGTTCTACGTTGTCGTCATATCGTGGTTATCTGGTCAGCTTATTCAGGCTGAGCTTCATTCCGTGACCGTGGTGGCTACGATACGGACGGAAATAAAAGGCGCGCTTCCGTATTGCAAAAGGATAGGTTTCATGACGGATTATAGCTGGTAGCATAGTGTTCGTCTGTCTGTCTTGTTACGTCGATCTGAGGCGAAAGAATATTTAGCATACGGAACGCACTAAAGAGCCGCACAGCATCCACTCAGAGAACTGACCGTACGTGGAATTACGATATAAGCACAGTAATAATGTGTCGATAATCCTCTACGAGCGAATTTCGTTCCATTCCGAGACCATAATCTGTTTAATTGTACACATAGGCAAAAATAGAGACGTCACGTAAAACTATATGACCATATATGTTTATACAAATATATAGTCATCTTTCGCACACGGCAGATTTGAACTAGCTGATTCTACTTGTGGTAAAATTAGGTGTTGGGTTAGGCCGAACCAACGGGTACATTTGACCGAACAGCGCTTATTAACTACGAACCATTACGGAAAATAATCACCCTCACCGTCCTTACTCGCCTCCGCAAAGGCGTGCCGAGTTTATCATTGATGCACTATCATTAAGGACTGCGTTAAAAAAGCGAAAGAGTACAGTTCTAGGCATCATTTTTAGGCTATTCTAAAAGTTTATGCGGTAGCTGAATACGACACGAGTCAACACGGAAACGACTGTCCATTCTATGTATTCCCTCCAAAATGTTATAAATTGTTCACATATATGGGCAAATACCTATTTCCTAAGCAAGAGGTTTCTCGTGAGACCCTTATGGCGGTCTAGGCCATCTATTTGAGGTTCAGCTCGATTCATAAATCAAATTTCGCAGTAATAGTTGTATTGGGCTCCTGTTTACAAAAGCAATCGATTGTTTACGAAAAAAATTAGATGCTTAAATGTTGAGCAGGTGATAGCGCCTGATTGTAAAAGGGTATCTTATAATCCTTTAAATGTTTATAATTCTATATTAGTAAAAATTTTAATGTTTCGACCAAATGTTTTTCTACAGTGATATAATTGGGGGAGCGGAGTCTTTGGTGTCAATATATTCTCTTTTTTTGTAACGTATATCTAATTTTGGGTCTAAACAACTGGCCAACGCTTCGAATGTGTCTAAAAACAAGTACTACCCACGATCTATCGAGCCTTCTTCGCCCTCTATCAAATCGTCTTTTGCGTTGTACCGGGGCGCTACGGGTGTTACAAAAGCTTCAGGCAACACAAGCCATTTTACAACTTGACCTATTGTTATATTAAGCTGTCCCAAATGCTGTAAAGAAAAATAAGGAAATACTGTCAGAAAAAAGCGCTGGCTTTTTTAACACCTAGGGTGCGATACCGAGAAGACTCCTCGGAGTATGGAGCCGGCACCAAAGAATCAGACATATACCTATGCATGAAGCCAGCGCTTAATTATATCAAGTAATGAGAACTATCTTACATATCATAAGGAAAGGTTTGAACATAAGATGAAGTCACTAACAAGGATCATACGCTGTAATACCAGCTGGGCATATAACCATCTTAATATCATCAGAATATCACAATCCCTGCACTTATATGCGTAAATAGAGTGCTAGTTATACGTAAGGACATTAAAAAAAAAGCTTAAACTAACCAACAGCACGATGTAAAAAAGAAGCTAGACATACACCGGAACAAATTTATCAAAAGAAAATTTACAGCGTGAAACTTTCAGGCAAGAGAGTGTACAGCAATGCAGACCTTTGAAGGGAGAATAAGAACAAAGGTCGGTAGTTCAGCCAAGATTAGACAGGACGGTTTTACTTTTGGAAGGCAATTGTCATACCAGACATCTACCCCATCCTGCAGATTGCTCAAGAAAGACAAATACTAAGAATCACATACATTAATGTAGGCTTTGAGGCAAATGGAATTGTGGAAAAAATAAAACTGACTATAAGACGACACTTGGCCTTTACACGAATTAGGGTAGGATCAAGTCAAAGCATGATGAAGATTTATATATAAGTAACTGTCGGAGGGGTAGCCAGAAAGGGGGTACGAGCAGATGTTAAGATGTGGCACTCTGTAGAGATAACGCTAATTAAGAGATGGTTCGATTATAATTTGAGCGGAATCCTGTAATTTGAATGCAAGCACTGCCAGCTTGGGCCAATGAAGACTGAACGCAGTCGAATAAGCGTAGCATTGAAATTAATGAAAATTTACTGTGGAAAATAAATAGCGTTAAGCCTAGCTAGAAGGCGTTTAAATGCTACTATAATACGGACAGTGTTATAGTAGGTAACTACGTGTATTCGGGAGTGTTCCAGTTCACGGCACACAATAGTGTTTTCCGACAATTCGGATCGTCTTGATCAGTTCTAATATAACCTTTTAGTACGCATTATAAAAAGCAATAGTACATATTGTTAATAAAATTCTATGCGTTAGATGGATCACGGTGTGTTTCCATGAATATAGCTGTTTTGGAAGGCACCGCTCACATGCTCCTCAGATACTTATTCGTAGATGAGAGTAGAAAAACAAATACTGTTTTGTCATTTATAAAATTTATTTCATTGGCGTATTCTCTTTTTCATAAAACCGTACTCACTGTACAACTATATTACAATATTATCTTCTTATAAAATAGACGGTACCTTCGACTGAGTGACTTGCAGCGCCTGTGACATACTGATTGCCGTGCTGATTGATACACTCATCAGCCCTTGTACTATTTGATCTTCTCGTAAAAAGATGTCCGATAGCTCCTTTGGTTTCATCTGGGTCGACTTTGTTTTTCTTCCGGACCACATAGCACTTACACGAGCAATATGTGATGTCGTTTCAGAATATTTCTCATAACATTAATCGGTAATTTGCTCAAAATTATATGACGCTTTAAATGAAATAAATATGATTATCCAGTATGTTTTTTTGTCTCACTTGAAACTCAGACTGTGTCTAAATCGTGTGAAATACATCTATCCCTTGACAATCTCTCTCTCCTCTTTCATTCGATCGAGCGCTAATGCTGCACACATTAGCCATATATACCCAAGGTCGAGAGAGCAAATCTTACCGAAGACCACTGTTATACATGTGTACTCGTTTATATTAGGGTATAACGCAGGAGTGATTCTGCGGCTGACAGGTTATTCTGCGACAGCCGAGTTTAATTTTGTACATATACAAATATATTGAAAAATGTTGTTTGTATCGATCATCATGTGACAGGTAGCCCGATGAGTTAAACGCCTGAATAGGCAAAACTGGAGTCGTAAAAGTTTGGCGCTGTCCTGAGGATACTCGTTGAGTGTGGGAACGAGTCCCGAATGCTATACGATACACAGTCTGTTTTACGTTTACGTAGTGTAAGAGCAAAATCAGCACTTTCCAGTAGGTCTAATCCGATCTGCAGTGGATTCACAGGTTTGACACAACCACGTTTGGCTACATTGAAAATGCGTATCCTTTTTGAATCCGTCGCAGAGCCCTTTTACGCTGTTGAGAAGTATGATTTATATGAACTTACCGCCATTCTTATACCTGACCTTTACAAATGTACTACATATTGTGCAGCTAAGTATTTTTGGCTTTCCAGCATTGCGCGTTTACTAAGTATGTCGCAGTTAGACACTCTAAACAATTTTCTCGAGGCCGCTAGTTGCTTTTATGCAATGAATAGGCACGTTTAGGTGCCTTAAATACGATCTAATAACTATTACGTGTACAATCAAGTACATTCTAATAAGACTTGGTAGATTTTTACTGTTGCAGCTCTACTTGAACAGTACTGTCAGTAAAAATGCATACACAAATGAAATAGTTTGCGCTCAATTCTGATGTTACTACAACATATTTTATCTATTTGCTCACTGGCTTCTTCAAGGCCTTCCTGTTTTTATAAACGTTTTGCGTTTTATGTTGACGCCTAGCATTTCCTTTTCCACATCCATATTTATAGCTCGTCGCGACTAGACGCAAAACAAAAGCTGTACAGTTTCTCATACATTTTTTTCTCACACATCTTTGTTACGTGGAGTCCCAATAGGTGAGAATATATATATATATATATATGTGCGTGTGTGTGTCTGTGTGTGTGTGTGTGTGTGTGTTGCTGTCTTTATTCGCACGGATTGTGTAGTATGCATTGTCGTATATATATATATATATATATATATATATATATCAAGTATAAACACGTAATTACATGACGTATCACAATGACATGGAACTCGTCAAGCTCGGCAGTGGGCACAAAAGTCTCTTTTTCTGTTCATTCTAGCGCGACGAGTGCCATGAAAACGGATGTGCTTTGTCCTCTCATTCCGTTCCAATCAGACACTTCCACAAAACAGGAGAACGTATATCGACCGTAATAGCGATCAGACTCCAATGGTCTGATTCGTTAAGACAAAACGACTCATCTTCGTAATATCGTAAAATTGCGATAGAGACCTTTCTCGTAATCCGTCCGGTTTCTTAATACAGCCGGCTTGCTGCGAAATCGACATACCTAACGATACGTACAATATGCGCTATACCGAAATGATGTGCACGTGTACAAAACAAGTTTTCCTAATGACAAATCGAGAATACAAATGTTGTGCATTAGAAGCATTTAAAAGTATTGTATAATTTCGGTGTGTCTGGTGGTTTACCTGCTAAGTGAAATTAAGAGATTAATTAGGTGATTCGGACAGGGAACGAACACGACATGCATAAGGAGTTTGTTGTCTTCGCTCGATACAAGTTATAGACTTAGGTTTGAATTGAGGCTACAAATGCTTTCCGCGTCGGCGTCACCTAACAACATCCTTCCCATATTTGCTTGAGGTGCTCCGCAGTTAAGTAGTGTGGTTCCGCCATGACGGCTTCTTTAACTACTCGCGCTCATGAGATCTGGGTCGACAAATACTGATTCGTCTAAGTCGTAATAATCGGCTTCTTTGAGTGTAGACGTGTACTTTTCTCTGCCTATGAAACTTGGGACGAGGTTGATATCATTTCTAGACGTGCGTGATATTTCTTGAAGTGTTGACATGCACTCCAGTCGGCGTTACAATAGGCCCCACGTTTCCATAAAATGGAGAATAGATGCCGCCATGTGGATTCACTATTGGATGCTGTACACCGCCATTTGCCTGAAGGGGACTTACAGAGTTAAGTAGCTGGGATTTACTTCGAAGCGAATCCATCGTATTGTACAGACTGGGATTAGAAGATCGCACGGACTCGTCGGGGTGGCCTGGCTGCAGGCTTAATACGGGGGGTAACTCGTTGCGCTGTTTGGCTTCTTGCACCCTGTTGTAATGTTCAAGCAATACTTCAGCCGGCCAGTGATTCACAGGTGAAAGTCCACCTGGCGGCATCTGATTGACGTTCACTGTCATATTCATTTGTGACATGTTAGTTGGGTGATCGTTCAGCGACATCGAATGATCGATGCTCATGGAGACGTTTTGGTCATGTCCTATGTTCGGGCCAAGCGACAAATTTGGAGCCATTGTCGTTACCGGACTGAGACCTTCTTTGAGCACAGGTGAAGGCGTCAGAACCGGGCTACTGTTTGAGACGTTAAAATCTTTAGGTAACGTCCCAATAGTCGACGTACTCAAATTCATTCCATTATTCTTGTCATTGGTCGACACCTTCTTATCAAGTAAAGGATCTTTTCGACGACGCGCCACAATTACAATGAGGATACACACGCCAAGAACTAGCACGACAAGAGGCACTGCGATGACGAGGGCCAGCTGGCTCGGCAACAGGCGCGGGTCACCACGCCGGTCAGACGGTAGTTGATCGCTGAACAATAAGTCACCGGTTGTCGTTCCGCCTGACATCCCCGAGCCGCCTTGACCAGACGAACTTCCGAGACCCCAAATCGATGACGTGGTTGTTGTTACCGACGGCATAACAGACACAGTCACTATATTGGACGTAGCTGAAAGTGCTCCATAAGTACTGTTCACTTTGAGGGCAAAGTATAGGGGCAGGGAACTTCCACTGGCGAGCTTAACAAACACCTGTTCCGGGCTTCCGGCCTCTTTGGGTATCAGTGGACTGCCTTCCATCTCCCAGGCGTTGATCTCTTGGCCACGTTCATCAAATTGCGCTATAGCACTGTCTCGGTTGTCAAATCTTTTTAAAATATATGCGGCAGCCCGGCCATGATCCCGTACATTGCCCGTTGCGGTCCAGCCAAGAGAAACTCCTCCAGGTCCTCCATGATTGGACTGCAGGTACACGACATGAAGGTCAGCAATACGCCCTGGAGTAAACCAGGGCGCACGAATTTCACTCTCGCGCTGCTCTTGTGTCACACGCGTCACAAAAAATGCTCCGAAGTGCACCCGACGGGCAAATGGACGAGTAGCATTAAAGGCTGTCCTCATAACGGCACTGCCGCAGCACGCTGTGTGTGGAACAGTGTCATCTGAAAAATTAAGAAGTATAATATACACGTGAGCTCGAAGGCCCTATTTATGTCGCGATAAACATCAGCAATAAACATGTATTACTTATAGTGCGCCATGCCGCCAAGGTGACGCTTGTTTTGGGGTTCATGAGCCCCCACTACGAAGTTACCTTTTAAACCTTTTTAAGCTGGTCATAAGCTTATTTTGAGAAAAGCTAAACAACTGCATAACAAGGACATATGTTATCTATTTGTTTGATTTGCAGCTACCTGGTACAGTTGCGCCCCTTAGAACTGCAGCATTGCCTTCGCTCTTAGCCTCGACAACAAGACGGTGCCTCCCGAGGCTTTTGATGCTTTCAACATATCTTGAGTAAACACCATCATCCTTTGTCATGTCAGGATCCCCGGCTCCATTGTCTTTCAGTTCGATACACAGCTGAGTCTCAGTTTGATCGGACACGGGAGTAATTTTGGCAACCACCTTTGCATCAACCACAGGCCGACTTCCTTTGCTAACCTTGGCGTAAACGATTAGCCCCTTCTCGTGGAGGCTCACCTATCGTCGAGAATATGGATCGCAAGTGTTATCATGGTCGCATTTGCATGACAACAATTTCTATAACGATAATAACTAAATCTGTAAGGTTTTGATGTTCGGAACGAGGTCATTTCACGGCCTTGGTTGAATATTTCTTTCAAAATGGCGCAATTTGGGTGGCGTAATCTCTTTGAGTGTGCTGCCATGATGACCATGAACCAACAACCGTCGCTGGTTCATATCTTAACATTGGCAAATGGTTATTTTAATCTATTGCTATCATATCGTTTCATAGGTTTGTTAGAAAAAGTCCAGCAAAACTCGCCGGATCAGGCGTTTTGGTGATGGCAGGCCTATTACACCAAAAGGTAATTCCGAGAACTTCCTCACACAGTAAAATATAGGGGAAAGACTTTAAAAAGATACCGATTTTTAGAAGCACTCCACTGTATATTCGCAGCAAATTACAACCTGGTCTTCGTTATGTATTAGGCTGCACTTTACGATTTGTTTAATTGCTGATACTGCGGCATTGCTCTACGTCTTAACGAACGAACTTCGAAACTAGCTTACGCATCATCTAATTTGAAACTGTCGCGCTATTAAATAACATGCACAAACACAGATCCTTTACATCTGGTGAAGTTGAGCCATCACTCACTGGATTTACACATTTTGTTTGCGCTCTGAACGACTTACACTATCGTCTTATTTTAGAAGCATAAATAGTACGATACATTATACAGAACTTACATTGTAGCTGGGTTGCGAAATCCACACATCTACGGAGATAGGTTCATCGTCGGCCGTTGTCGGTTTTGCCGCTGCAGAAACAATAATCGGCTGTTTGGTATCCTTCTTCGCTTTCGCCTCTAGTCTCCAGCGCCCAACAGCTGGCTCCGGTATTTTGAATTCGAAGTACCAGAACTGTGCATTGGTTGACACGTATTTGTAGTCTTTAGGAGTATAAAGCTTTTTTCCATTTGTATGACCAATCGGTGCAAATAGGAAAATGTCCTTTGGCGACACTGTCCAGGGCCGGTCAGAGCCGTAGTCATGGCCAACAAGACGTACCCGAAGCTCTGCATTAAGAGTGGGGTCGACATCGAACTCAAATACCATGTCACTCTGCTCTTTTCCGTAGAACTCTTTTTGCTCAATTTGGCTGAAGCTGTCATATTCTACTGCGGATGTACTATCGTATGTGAATGTGTACAACGCGTCATAGAGCTCCTGTAGAGCCGTCACTGTTATCGACGAATCTATCGGGGTGTCATCTACAGCAACAACACGTCCGCCAGTTTGGAAAATGAACGCGTCCAAATTGTTGTCTTTTTTTGGTAAGGTCTCCTGTCGGAATAGATTCGATCCTTTGCCCGAACCTACACCATTGTTGTTGATATGAGAGGATGTCGCTGAAGTTGAAGCCGCTGCTGCCTCAGGCGAAGGAAAGATAATAGCATCGACACGAACGCCTTGAGTATCATAGCTGTGGCGAACCATCTCGTCAAAGTGTTTGTCGAGGTGGCCATCGCCAATGATTATAACTCGCTTCGTAAAGTAATTTGAAGGAAGACGTCCAGTAATTTCCGATGTATCGTTAAGCGCCTCGAGAGTCAGTCGTAGCCCGTCCTCGAGAGTTGAATTGATGTTATTGCCACCTTCGATATCAGCGTTTAGAATAAACGCATCGACGGCGTTACGGACGCTTTCATCATTAGCTGAAGCTCTGCGCAACGCGATCTCGCTTGCGATCGTTCCGTAGGTCACGAGCGCGATCTGCATGTCGATCGGAGCCTCGTTCCGAAGGAACTGATTTAGGGCACGTAAAATATAATTGCGTCGGTCCTGTGAACGCGAAAAAAAGTGCATGGGGGCACTCAGTAAATAATTTTATTTTTGGATGGTCCTTTGTAGCAGTATTTCATTGTTCAGAAGATTTCATTTTAAATAAAAGTGAACTGTTACATGCATACGAAGTTTAGGCTGAAACTAAGATAGACTGTGGGCCAATGGTTTTCTATAGGTTCTTTACACTGATAAGTTTAAGATGTTTACAGCGATATATAAAATTATATCTTTATACAAAATAGTCAAAAATAGGCAAACTAGGCACAAGTGAGAAAGTATTATAGTGTTAGGGCCAAAATAATATGTTTTTAGTGTTTTTCTTGTTATTATTAGTATTATATTATTAGTATAATCATAGTAAAAAAGTGTTATTTATCATGATTATTAGATTATGAGCTATAACGTCGTGTTACTATATTTCTAAAAACAATAGCTATAGTAATTTTTTTAAAACTATAAACCTATTTTTGTCGTAATGTATGTGCTGAGTGCACCTACATGCTGCATTGTGGCCTCGGTGATTTGGATGACGAATGCGAGCACCTGGGCACGCTCCTGAACAAAGGAAAACCGTGTACGGCCTAACAGTCCACTGAAAAAAAATACATAGCGAGCCAAACATACGTTATAGAAACGTGTATTCGGAAACGAGATATTATATCATTTGTGAATTCCCCCAATTAATGGCTGGTAAAAGAAGAACTGCCTTACTAACTTCCTAGTACTTCTATAGAAATCGGGATGCTGCTCAATGATTTCCGTCGTAGATCTCCCCATGCACATGACGTTTTGCTTTGTCGGAAGAGTTCGATCATGAGGTCTTGTTCCCCCGCAAAAGTATGTCGCCGACGGCAAACCACTCATAAGTGATGCTTCAGCATTGTCATGTAATGCCGAGTAAACTGGGATGCAGTCATGGTCCAGCGGAAGGCCATTCATTAGATTGATTGTTGCGTTGCATGACATGCCGTTGCCATTCCTGAAATATTGTGTGTACATAGTCAACAGAAAGTCAACGTAAATAAAAATCAAACCTAACAATGCATTTTTCTATAACCGATGTTCCCTGATCGGTGCTGGGTGTAACAATTTCCTTAGAGGGACGTAGATGAGTTTAATAACTAGATGAATAAGGTGTGATACGGTTTTTATATATATATATATATATATATATTTTTTTTTTTTTTAATACACAGTTGACTATCTTCAATTAGCTCCGCATCATATATTTAATCTCCAACAAAGACCGAGAAAACAGACTGCTTGAATGACTGAAATATCTTACTCAATCGATTAAGTGCAGATATTACTGAAGAAATTGAGGTGTTAGATGTATAGGCGAAAAGTTGGGGCCAGGTACAGTCAGGACAATAATGCCGATTCCGTGTCTGCTTTGAAGGTGAGTCATGTGACGCCTGGAAGTCGCTTTAGCTTGAACTTCTTTAACACAGTCACCATCACCAGTTCCCCTATCGTGACACCCACTGCAGTTAGTAGCTGAATGAAAGTGGCTCGTCAGCATATCGCACACGCTGCATCAAGCAAGCAACGAATCAGCCAGTGGGTGTAAGGTTAGCGGCAAAGGTGGCGGGGTGTTTCTGCTAGTTGGATTGCAATGAAGACGGCAGGCAGTTCTCTAGTGGCCCAGTCACTTATACGCTATTAATTGGAATTCCGCTCGCCGCTTTTCATTTCTGTCCCGGGACGACCGCCAGAAAAGTGAGTGCTTGGATTGAAACGGGAAACAAGTTGCAATCTCAGCTCTCTTAGGACACGAGTCAACCTTGGTGGTCTCAGGCCGACAAGAAACCTGGTACCGTTCTCTAGCCGAGAGCTAACAGTGAAAAGTAGCTAATGGGGGGTGCGCGCACTGCGAGATTCTGCAAGAAGTCGCCCAAAGACCAACACTCCGTAGACACAGAAGCACGCTCACACATTTTTGGCCTTACGCCCTCGATGAGGCTACAGCAAATGCGGCCGCCACCGTAAGAGACTTCAAAGCTCAATGTAAAAGCGATACGGGGCTCCGCGATAACTTCATCAGCTTCATTACGTCAACGCACAACTATTTACAAGCATACGTAGTAATATAATAAATAAACGTAGTATAATATTAAAGTCTACTCGTTACCCTTCGTTAATTTACATCCCTTGTATCCTCTCCGTTTCGGGTTTTACGTCCGTTCGAGTCAATGCGTTAGGCACTCCATAAGACGATTAGCTCTCAGCACCTTTCCTACCGGGAGTCGACCTAATCAGGCCGAAATAATAATTCTAATGATAGCATTGAACCGCTCCCAGTGGTCACATGAGAGTCATTTGTCTAGTAGTCATAGGTAGGACCACGGCAAACTGACTTTAAACACTGAGCGGAGATACGATCTCCTTCGGCACAGAGACAACTTTACTCGAATACAGACAATATCGAGTCAAATTTTGTCGAAAAATAACGAGCTAAAAGAGGAAGCATAGTAGATAGTGGCGAGCAACTCAATACAATGCAAATGTAACAGCAAGAAATTGTTCTTAGAACGTAAGTGCAAGGCCCAAATTCTTGGTTCTGAAAGGAATATTGCTAAATCTTCTACTTACTTCCTGGTTGTCCTGTACGAAAAGATTCCATAACTGCTTCATGTCATCTACTACGTGTGGTCCGCTCACGGCCACGGTCATTGTGTTCTGAGTAGTTTGTGTTTGCATCGGAAATTTCTACTGAATTATACAATAAGAACCATTTAACAAAAACGATGCACTCAACACCAGCGTTATTTACGCGAGGGCGTTCTGACTAATGTAATGATCGTACTCAAGCATCCCGAGATCTGCAGGAGTCTCAATATCACAATGGTGACGCGACAAGAAGCAGAGTTCTGACGAACAACGTATCGGTATGCCATCAGTGACAGCAACAACAATGGACCTAGCTTCAGTAATACGTGTTTTTAAAAAAAACATTTAGTATAGCATGAGCAATAAAATTAAGAAATACAGATATTCGTTACCAGTACGCAGACCATCTTTTAAAGCTAGCATTTAGAAAAACCATAGCACCAACGCTTCGTCATTGAGTTAAAGTTGGATAACTCATCTCTATCATTAAGTGTCAATGTTTCTTTGGAGGAGCACCATGCTAAATTCTTTATGGCCTAGTTCGCAATTACACGATGAAAGTCTTAACCGAAGTGAGATTTTTCATTTAAAAGCTTCATTTCAGTTTGTCTACACGTGTTATCCGAACAAGCAGTATTCCTGGGGCGTCGTTCGTGTATCCTGTATTTGTTCGATTTATTATACATTGTTGTTCATTGTCTTTGTACGATTAGTCATCCAGACAATTTTCCAAAAAAAACTGTTGGTATCAAGTGTATGTATTGAATAACTGATGACAGTTTAGTTGGGCGGAAGTCAGCAATATGGAACAAATGTTCCGAATTGGCCAAATACATTTTTATACTCATACCGCAAGATGACCGACCCTATAGTAGACGCGGTAAAATTGATGCTATATTTCAGCTGATCTGCTGCCTTACGGTAATAATAATAATAGTCGTATCTGCCGCGCTTTCGACAGACAGAAGGATTTACGAGAAACAAAGGGAGAACATCATCCCCAGGAACAAGTAGACGAAACGACTAACGAAAACGGCAGACAATATATCATCTTAAACCATCATATAACAACATGTCCTAATGTTTCTAGATAGCTGTATCACCGTAGCGAGCCTATTAGACCGCCGTCCCGCCAATTGTCGGGGTATACAAGGCTAAACGCGTCGACTTGGGATTTCCTTATCACATTGTCGTCATGTGTCTCACCGCATATATCTATAAGCACTACAGCCTACAGGGTCAGAGAGCAATCGAGTACTGATGTATCTAATAACAAGAATTCTATATTTTACCTCCCTCAAAAACTGCCCCGATGAACCTAACAGGTGAGCAGTTAGTTATTTGAACCCGTGTATTATATGGTAAAATATAAATGTGCGTAAACTTCTAAGCGCGTTTTTCTTTCAGGATACAGTGAGTACGATGTGTTTCCAAGTAGAAGAGAAGGTTAAGAGTGATGGGGATCCATGGCGTTCGGGGATCGAATGGCTAAAGCTGTTTAAGGTGAAATATTCATTCGAAACTATACTCAAATCGTATTTGCTTTTATACATAATGACATAAGGTCTATCTAATTACCTTTGATAGTTTAGTTCTCGTTTGTTTTCAAAAAAACGAACCTGAACTTCGGTCGAACAGGCCGATCAGCGCAGACATTTAGCTCAATATCGCTAGAATCTTGAGTTCCCGGCCTAGGTAAATAGAGTGGGTAAACAGGGTCCCTAGGAAATCCGTGCTCCTTAAACACTCCATACCGGTAGACAGCCCACTCGCGTAAAAACACATTATCTGTAATCGATTAGTATAATATCGGAGATTCGAGATAAAATTGCCTCAACAAGTCCTTTTTACTGAACATTCCTTATCCTAAACCGGTGTGAACATAAAAACGCACATACGGAAAAAACAATAATAACGATATTATTGTAAAATATAAGATGAGCGCGCTCACTCACGTGGTTTGCCGTATTTATCGAAACGACTCGACGTTTGTTCTTTATCGGCGGCGGCGTATGCACGCAGGAACGTATCTGGAACGACGAGATGTCTACCCTGAATACCGCAGCCTGCGTGCTGCACTGCGAATGGATTTTCGCCAAAAACAGACTCTTCACCTCTTTCGATGAGGACATCGGCCTGGCGCCATTGCTGCCAACTCGGCGCTTCTACTCGTGGAAGAGGCTGTCGGGCCCAAGAGCCCTTCGTTTCCCACGACCGAGGTATCATAACAGTCACCTCGGCGAGGTATACACCGTGAGTGCGAAAAAGCTCAAGCGAAACGTTACGAAGAACAGCCTGAAATGTCAATAAATAAGCGTAATGAGTTTGTCATGCACATTTCTACCAAGTAGTGTAAGGCGAGTACTATAAATTTTTTTCCCATTTACGTAATAGAACTTGGATTTACGTAATAGAATTTGGAAATTAAATTGAGGATTAGCCCTGGGGCAACCTAAGAAGAATCACGAAGGAAGATCACGGAGCGCAGACAAAACATCTCAAATAGGTTTTAAACATTCGCTTTTTTGTGTAGTATGCATTTTGATGCGGACATTTAATGCGTTCCACTCAAGTTAGCACACCTATTTATATTGCCATTTTCATCTCTTGCCTTCATTTTTACAACAAAGACCCATCACAAACGACCATTTTTATTGGATTACATTATTTGATGAATGATCTCTACCTTTATCTAGATTTCATAACTTTACTCAAGGGCGAAACTCTTGCATTTCACTACCGTGGGGCGCCATCTTAAGCGATTTTCTAACGTCCATCACTTTAATACGATACACACATGCAGATAAGCAAGCTGTTACCTAAACGAGCTAGCAACAAAATAACATTATTTCTGTCGCAGCAAATTTAAGTATCATTCATTTGTTACAATAAATTGAAAATGTTAACATGTTTTATACAACCGGCGGTCGCTCGGCTCGCTTCTGAGTTAACGCCATCGCAACCAAATATCGGATCTTCCCCGCCTTCCCTATCGAGTCGATAAGCTGTGATTTGCTCGCTCTAGCAGTAAAAGTTTTTGCATAGACCTATTCTACACGGCTCTTTTTGCATAACGTCTCTTTTCTAGTTCAGACGATCCGGCCAACGATCTTTGTCGACATTAGTTTGACTCAGAAAGCGTTTTCGGCCTCGTAAATTTTTTATTAAGCGTTGCTATTTGTTACTTATCCTTCTGCCTTCTCTTCTTCTGCTTTTATTGAAACAGCAAATGAAGCGTATTCCTTCTTCATGTGTTTTCCATGTTAATAACGTCCGCTATCCGGCCCGCATTCTACGCTGCCAATGAATCCATCGGTAAGTCTTGTAAGTGCGCTGACGATGAAAATACCCCCAAAGAGGTGTCCAACCACGATACGCATTGGGTTCTTGCTCGTTGCTAGCGCACTTGTGGCAGTAACAGTGGTAATAGGAATGTACTAATGACGATTTTACTATACGATGTCTGTTTGGCCCAACGTTGACGAGGCGTCCCATTCGACACCATTTAAGTTTTTGTGTCCCCCCAATGCACAGGCCAATGAATGGACAAACTTAGCAATCGCCGGACCTCGCTGGTTAGAGCAGCGGGTTCAACTGCCATCACAAATCTCGTGGTTGCGACAGTCGCATGACTCTCCGAAGATGTGTGAGCGTTGAAATTAAGTGAGCTACAGATGCCTCCTAGCGTTAGCAGTAGCTGGCGTCGTGCCGATGTGACTGCGCCAGTATCAACAGCTATTGGCGTTGCTAAGTGGCAAGACGTGACTTATTTTTTCTTTGTTACTGCGTCTAAAGCAGCGAAAAGAGGGAGCTGACATCGCTATAAGATAGGATTTCAGTACTGAGAGTGGAATGGGCAAGCGAACTAAACACAAGCGGAGAACGACCGTCGAGGCGAATATTCCATATACCGCTCCAGAGATGCTAAACTTTGTGTTTATTTCGGATCTGCCAAGAAAGACATGTTTACGAGATGCTCAATACTACCAGCATGTGTATGGACAGTTACTGGTAGATCTGTGTTGAGGTTTTCGTAAAACTGCTGTAGAATATATGGGCATATGGAAGTGACATATTAATGTGTGAATTTAAATCGTACAGAAAGCGGGTAGGCGACGTCGTCACCTCTAGACCTAACCAAAGGATGATTCAAGATATTCGAGCGTGCGTCCCTCGCGCATCGACACGGAAGCAGGTGATTCCTAGTGCAGTCCTGATACATGTGAATCACGGGTAAACAATCTCGAGGACCTTGCGTATTGCGCACTGCTGTATACGGCCACTGAGGCTGTCTATTTCGATCAACGCAATTGTTGTCCACACTAATCAGCTTTTGTACAGACCATAAGATTTACGTAATTCGATGGGGATTGACAGACTTTATGGGGCACAAATGATTTGTAAATGCTCATCTCTTTGAGCGCGTTGCATGCACAAATCGCTGCTTTAAATTTCAACGTTGACAAATGATTACCATGGCATATGACTATCATGTTATGTTGGAAAAATCCCGCCTAAGTCCAGCAAGGCCTAGCCCGGCACTCCGTTAGAGTGCGAACAAGTTTCTAAAACTCTAGCGAAAACGTGATTCCAAAAACTCCTTCACAGGTTAAAACTAGCCGTGGGCGTTAAAAAGCTTTCAAGACAGGGTTTACGCTGTTTTATCGATCCTGTCCCCCAGAGGGTTTGATAATTATCATAGCTAAATTTCAGTGAACAGAAACTTAGGAAGTTTTTTTTTGAAACAGACTTTTTGATAATGGTGCTGCCTACGCGGTATGTGCTGGCGTTTCTTGGTGTTTTGGCTAAAGTAACAATGCAGCCAGAACTACGATCGTAGCTCGAGAGGTGCCTTCCATCGTGTTAAACTTTAAATAGGCCTCTTCCAGAAAGGCTGAGACGCTGCCGAAGCTCTTTCATACAACTTTTAAGCGGTTGATACTCTAACAAACATTTACTTGAGTAAAATATTGGCACTTTTTGTAAATTACATGCCAGTCCTGAACCCTGTACTTACATGTATCATCTGTACGATGTTATGGGATTCTTTCAGTGGTTGAGCTAACAATAGTGAATTTAAAACACTGCAGAACACTCATTCGAACGTCAAGTATCTAATTTAATTCATATGTAAATTTATAAAAACACGTACAACGCAAAAAGGCAATATTTTATTAAAATCTAAAGTCAGCATTTAAATCCCTCGGTTATGTTACTAACGGATATATATCTGGGTAGGAAATTTAATAAAACTAGTTTGATACGAATATATACTCCTACATGTTGGTGAGACAATCTTTCTTTAGCTGTGCAAGTTTGACTTTTTTATGAAGCACTGCGTACACAACTGGTGGACTCAATGGTGCCACAATAGAAATAAAGATAGGAAAAACCATTTACGTCTTATTATTATTATTATTTTCAGGCTTTGCATGACTGTTAGCTCACACAGATAGGCAGTTCGTGCATCGGAGAGGACTGCCGGTTGTGCCGCATCATGGACACTATCAGAAGCTGTTTTCTAGCGAAACGTTTAATTGTTGGTTTCCGTATCTGAATAATGAAACAATAAACCGAAAGTAACGGGAACCTTTATGTGTAGTATTAGATTAAAGATATTTTTGCGACTTTTAAAATCGTTTCAGCTTCGTTAATATAATAAATTAGTTTGTGTATGTACATTCGAACATACACGTCCTACGTGTATGCACGTCGAACATACAATCGAGAGAACGCATACGACATAATTAAAGCGTTCGCATCCCCCAGCTGAACATCACACAAACTCGTTAACTTCATATTGATACTAAATCAAGCGAAAAATTGGCATATTCCACTGAAAATTATGCCAACCATAGTTGAGACGCGTCCTGAAACTCGTCCTGTTTGGGCGTGCTTAGTAAACTTTGATGAGCATTGAGGTTTTGCTTGAAACCTTCTAATTATGACCACATAAACATAAAATGCATCGCGGTCGAGGTCTCTTAGCAAATTATTTAGGCTCTTTTCGGCCTAAAACCACTTTACTACGAGACTTCAAAATCTGCCTACTTCGCTTTCCACATATCGGTTATCGAATAAGAAGACCTATAGCCTGTCGGTGATCGCTATCAATCCACCGATGTTATTCTACGAGATCGTTCGATCTTCAATCCCAGTAGTCCTTAGTCTTTATTTTATAGTCTTACATTGCTTTAATAAAAGACATTCGAGAGGCTCGAAGGCATTATAGGTACTTGTTTAGACATTGGCATATTCACAGAGGCATCTGCTGAAAGCGACCAATATTTGATTGAGTTTTTGCCGTTAATATACATAAGAGACACTTGAACGATCATTCATCACGACTATGACAGAAAAAAACATTTAGAATTTTTGCTGAATTTTTCACTCAGAGCCTCTGGTGGAAACTATGAAGCTCAAAAAATATATATAAAGCCCTTTAATGGCTGAAGACAGATATAGTCTGAGAGGCTTGTTTTTACTTCCTTTCCTTTTTTTTATGTTTATTACATTTTATTCTCCGATGTAAAATAAGGACTCCTGTGCCACCTTATAACATAAGTATACATTATACATAACACAAATATATATTTTTTCTCCCGCTATTTTCGAAATCAACAAGTATCGGCTGCGGAACTATAGGACGAGCGACGGATAGTATTTGTCGCAGTAATCGGGAACGGCAGCACTAGTAGTCGTAATAACTGAACAAACCATTCGGATTCACAGCATGCCACACCATACCATTCGCATTGCAGATAGAGTAAAGTGATAGACCGTGGTACCCGTTGTTGTAAGCTGAAGCCTTCTTCCCCCTACCGCCCAAAAATGGCCCTTTCGACGCCCGCTCACAATAGCCTTCGACGTCCGGCTACAGGCGCGTCCAGAGCGGTCGAGGCATTCTGCCGGGCCAAGTCGTGCGTTCTCTCTGACATCTGTCAGCTTACTGTCGGATCGCCCCGCTTCAATAGCAATAACTCGTCTTCTTGTTGGCAGCTTTTCGTTCTCTCGGAACAACATCGCCACCGACTACTACAACTAGTACCATTAGTGGAAACAATACCAACAGCAAAAAAGAGATAGACAAGTGTTAGTATAGAGTCCGAAATACAAACAGACAACTGTCAACATGGTTCCTTCTGGAAGCTAGAATAGAATTCCTGGTGGTGCAGCTGCGACCCTTGCCGCATATATAGGTGCTAGCTACCCTCTACGACGAATCAGACCGTTCTGTCAGTGGTAAGAGGCCAGCAATGGACCAGAGTCAATGGTTGGGTGAGCGCTCTCTGCTA